GAGAGTTGCGCAGGAGTCTGCAAATAGACCGCGAAGCTTGGTGGTGTGAACGTGCTAGGGAGATGGAGCTTGCTAGTCTCTGTGGTAATACCAGGAAACTCTTCCATCTCCTTCGAGTCACCGAAGGTGCTCGATCTGGTAGAAGTGAAACAATATGCGAAGAGGATGGCACCTTAATCACCAATCTTCAACGACGGTTGGAGCGATGGGCCGAACATTTTGGCTCGCAGTTTTGTTGGCCCCCAGCTCCATCTGCTACCTCTGGCGCTCGCGCTGGGGCCGAGTGGTCTACCCCAACAGACCCTCCCTCTTCCCAGGAAATCGAGCAGGAGCTCCGGCACCTGAAGCGTTATAAAGCTCCCGGCCCTGATGGTTTTCACCCAGCTCTATTTAAAGATGATGGCGCATCGCTGGTTCGAGAACTCACCGTTTTGTTCTCGAAAATTTGGTCGAGAGGGAAGGTTCCATCATCTTGGGGTGAATCGATAGTCGTACCCATCTTCAAAAAGGGCCTGCGCACAATCTGCTCCAACTACAGAGGAATAAGTCTAGTCCCCGTCGTTTGCAAGCTGCTGGTGTCCATCATGCTTCGCAGGCTATCCCCAACACGCGAATCGTTGCAACGAGAAGAACAAGCTGGGTTTCGCCCTGGTCGCGGCTGCATCGATCAAATCTTCACACTTCGCCAGATCCTCGAGCTCCGCCATGTGTATCAGAGGCCAACGATTGCTGTCTTCCTGGATATCCGTGCAGCCTTCGATTCTGTCGATCGTACAGTACTGTGGCAGTGCCTTCTGAGGAACGGTGTCCCCGAGAAGTTCGTCTCCATACTTCGCGCTCTATACAGTCTGACCTCGGGCAGGGGTAGGGCTTATGGCATGCTTTTGCCTACCTTTGTGGTCTCCAGTGGAGTTCGACAAGGATGCCCTATCTCTCCGTTCCTATTCAACTTTGCCATTGAGGATGTCCTGAAGAACGCTCTGAGCGATTCGTTGAACGCTGGCGTTGAGCTCCTCCCAGGTAGTCGAGTTGTTGATTTGGATTATGCTGATGATATCGTCTTGCTGGGTGACGATCCACAGGTCGTCCAACTTGCATTAAACCGCTTGACGATTGAAGCATCAAAGTACGGTATGTGCTTTTCGCCATCCAAATGCAAGGCTCTCCTTCAAGACTGGCAGGTGCCTCTGCCTGCGCTCACGCTTGCTGGTGAGACACTGGAGGTTGTGGAGAGCTTTGTCTACTTGGGAAGTTGCATCACTGCTGGCGGGGCTGTTGGAGACGAGATTTCGATGCGCATCTCGAAAGCACGCCTCGCTTTTTCTAGGCTGAGGCATTTGTGGCGTCGCCACGACATTCGTCTCTCCATCAAAGGGCGGGTCTATTGTGCAACTGTTCGTGCTGTACTGTTGTACGGATGCGAGACCTGGCCCATTCGTAAAGATGACTTGCGCAGGCTATTCGTCTTCGAGCACCGCTGTCTGCGGTCCATTGCCCGTGTGTGGTGGCAGCACCACGTAAGCAATGTGGAAGTTAGACAGCGTGTCTTGGGAAGTGGAAGCCACTCGCTCGAGGAGCTCATCTCACTGCATCAACTGCGGAGGTTGGGACACGTATTGTGCATGCCTGTCCAGCGTTACCCCCGTCGTGCGTTGTTTGCACTGGCTGGACAGGGCTGGGAGAGACGGTCTGGTGGACAGCCTACAACATGGAGAAGTCGCATGAAAAAGTTGACGAAACAGTCGGCCTCGGCCGGTTGTTGTCGACTACCTGGTTGGGGTGCGAGAGATGAGGATACTTGCTGGTTGAAAACCTTGGAAGTTATGGCTCAAGATCGATGTCAATGGCGGACGTGTGCATCAGTGTGTTGCGGTGTCCCTTCCTCCTCCCCCTAAAAAAAGAACAAACTGAAAAAAATTTCAAAAACTGTGAGTGGTAAACTTGACAAAAAAAGCATTTCTTGTTGCTCTTTTCTTATTATTCATATTGTTTTCCCATTCAGCCATGATTCCGATGGCACAATATCTGCACCACAGATTGTATATATATATATATATATATATATATATATATATATATATATATATATATATATATATATATATATATATATATATATATATATGGTTGGCGACACCCGGTTTCGTATTTGCCTGTCACTGTGGCCAGCCACAGGACGCCTGCGCCTACAGAGGGACCATGAGTGGCTTGCGCTGCACCACCCACAGCTCCAACCACACACCCCATATCCAGTGTAAACCCAAAGGAATAAGACCGGGAGGCATGTGGATGGCAGCCACGTTTCATCAACGGAGCCGGTCCACATTCCTTCACAAGCAAACACAAGCACACTGTATTTGGGGAATCAACCGCACATAAGGCGGTGGCTGGACCGTAGTCCGCTCCACACTGACTGCATGGAACCACTCATTGATCCTAACACGGCCCAAGGACCGTGCACCCCGTCCCCTCCAGCAACGATCAACTGTCTCCTGGAGCCAGTATCGATGAGTTAGTGGGTAATACACAGGTAGGCACCTTGTCAACATGCACATCAAGCGCAGCCACATCAGAGATATCAAACAACAGCCAATCACTTGAAATGACATGATGAAATAAAACACTTCCAATAATGCATACAGATACGGTGGCATAACTCTTCGCTAAATTAGTATATGGAGTAATTTGGTCAGCAATGAATCCGCGATAAGGAAAAAGAATGTCCACAAGTTACTCAAAAATGCTACAAACGCAACAAAGTTACCGAAGATAAGCGCAATTAGTGTAAGCAACGTGGCCAGTCAATAGAAGATTATTCAGGTAGGCAGAACAAACCAAATAAAGTGGAATGAAATTTAGCCAGCTTAAAAAGACCTAGTTTAAGTATAAGTTGGTTTAGCCCAACTGCGGTGAAGAAGCATCAAGAATGCAACATCTGCCTCAGCATGGGGCATGCATATATATATATATATATATATATATATATATATATATATATATATATATATATATATGAGCGGCGACGCGCGTGGAAAGTCAGAGCAAATTGCATCCACCAGAGGCAAATCAACAAGCAGTGCTCGAACTGGATAATCGTACTAATTACAATTTGCCTTCCCAGCGCAATACTGTACTGACAACTTGCAATTCGACCCAAATGCCTAGCAAATATTGCTCTAATGTGACACGCACAAACTAATGGTGTCCATTAAGCGGTGTTTAATATGATAGATACTTCAATGGTGCAGACCAACAGAGAAAGAGGCACAAAGGTGTTAGCCAAGCAGAAACACGATAAGATGTACGGAAGGATGGGTTCCATGCGTGATCACTCACAGCAATGTTCAAAAGATGTGGGGTCACAAATAGTACGGTGGTATGGTGTCACAGTTAACCATGAGACTGGTCCCGCTGGTGTTTAAACAGTATAAGGTCACGGACAACACGACAAGCAGTACCAAATCTAAATTGTGTTATAATCTCTTGTGTTCCATATGTTTTACCCAAAAAATCGGGTACGGTCGGCGAACCAGATAGACTGACGTCGCGAGCCGTAGTTTGGTGACTCGTACCCCGGGCAAACGCTCGGAGTCTGAACATAAGATGGTTGTACTCTCCTACGAAATGCCACACGCTGAACACATCATGACACAATTACAGGTCCCGTATGGTCCATACAATGCCTTACATCTTTCTAATCTTCTAGTGTCTTTAAAATGGGACGCTTTCTAACGAATGGCGTGCAAGAGGCTGCTGAACATAGGCTGAAGGATCTTGTCTCTGAGGCTTGATCGTATCTCCTGTAGAGCAATACGACTTCATATCCTCGAGATATTCGCTCACAAGCCGTTCAGCTTCGAAAATGCTAGTTGAAAAGCTTGCTTCTTCGTATTCCGACAACAAAAGGTTATAAACCAACTAGAAAAATTTCGGTAAAACACGTGTTTAAAGGATAAAAAGTACGCATTCAGTAACTGGGGTGAAAATGATTAATTTACCAAGCTGCTAATGGAAAAAACCACAGCAATCACCAACATCACGATTTCTTGCAATCAGCAGAAAAGCGAGCCAACTCACACCAGAGATGCATACAAAAACTACTTTGGTTCTACAATAAACATTACCACTGAACCCCGAGCAAAACTCATCCGGCTGCTTTTATGGATGCTACGCTCCGTGACATTAACCATTTTAGTTCTTCCACGAAATCCGCTTGGTCATCAGTAACAGCAGTACATCAGACATTTGAACTGATATATTGCTGCCGTACAATCACGGCATGCAGAACGAGGAATAATCGCATGGGGAGAAGGGGGACCTAGCGGAAAACTTAAGTGCTCTCAGCAAACATTCAGGGTCAAGGCGCCTACACCTTGTGTCAACAACATACCGCCACAGATAGCTGAATATCATGCAAGAACGACATCAGCGAGAGTTTCCTTGCGACTTTCCTCCTCAGATTACTTAGCACCAAACACACCTTAAGCAGGCAGTCCAATCAGGAGAAGCAGTAGACGCGCCAATGGTTTCGACTGTGAGCCATATCTTGCAGTCTCGAGCCAAGAAAAGGATGGGTCACGTGTACTCCAGCCTGGAAGGCCAGAGAGACCAGAGGCCCAGACTCTGGTCGTCAGTGTCTTCATTTCCCGCTGCCCAGTCAACTTTTGTCACCTCGAGCCATGTGTCACCCTACGTCCGACCCTCCTCGGTAAGCGGTGACCGGGCATACGTAGTACTTGCCCAAGCCAACTCAACTTCTCCTGTTATCTGTTGCTCTAAGGAACTAGCCTGATTATCGCTGCATAGTACTCGCGTACGTACATCATGGTGGCGGACACACTGGTGCCATCCGCAATCAGCGATGATTCGAGGAAACTGATGTTCAAAAACTTGATGGCGCCCCAAATCCCCAGATGTAGGGTCCAAGTCTCACTCCTGTAGACTAAAACGGCCTTCGCTGTGGATTTGTGAACATGGCCCACCAAACCCAGGGAAACCACCTTCTGAAGCCACAGATGTCGCAGATTCAAGAAGACAGTTCTAGCTATTGCAATACTGAACTGATTTCAGTGGTTATGAGCCTGTCGTTACTGGTACACATGTCAAGTGAAATGATTAACTACTTCGAGTTCCTCGCCATCAAGGGTTCATTAAGTGTCTAATAGGTCCTGCACTTTGAAGGTGCGGAGCGCATACCAAATGATGTAACAACTCAATTGAGGTTATTTAGGGATGATTGGGCCACAGCAACGTCGTTAAACAGTAAGACACTATCGTCCGCGTAAGCAAGATAAACTGGTTTTCCACCAGATAGCACGACAACGCGTGAACCTTGGGACTCTAAGAGGGAACAGTTCGTCGTGGAGTCAACGACGAAGTTGAACAAGAATGGGAAACTGCGCAACCCTGTCAAACGCCACTTGTTGTCGAGGTTTGAGAACTCACCGTGAACCTTGAGCCGGCCTGTGAGTTCGAGTAAGGGACATGTAAAATGTCCCCATGTTTCATGGGGAATATCATGCGCGCAAGTATTTCGAACAAAATGCACACATCGACTGAGTCGAACGCTTTCTTGAAGTTCAGGAACACAACGATTGCCGCTTTGCGGTTTGTGTAGCGCTGCTCTAGCACAGAGTCTCTACAGTCCCGCCGTCCTGGACGAAACCTGCCTGCTCTTGCTGAATTCGGGATTCTCGCTGTGCGGTGAGGCGAGGAACGAGAATTGAGGACAGTTTGTCACCAATGGTGTCAGGCTAATACCTCTGTGCTTAACAAAATCGGTGCGACTGTCCTACTCGTGTATTACATAACCGATTCCCACTAGTTAGCTGGGACGGCTTTTTCCTACAAGGTCGGTTTGAACAGTGAGGTGAGTGCTTCGCAGAGGACTTTACCACCATCATTAAACTACCGATGCGAGGGAATCTGGGCCAGCAGCCTGAAAACGATTGAAGTATCTGACCAGATTTAGGACCTCAGCCTCCGATGCAGTATCTAAACTAACCGGAATGCCTTAGCCCATATCATCTGAGTTTGGTATGTCGGGCCTAAGAATCTACCGCCAATCCGGATTAAACTTGAAGATTCCGATATTCGCATATTACCTTTGAGCCATTTTTCAGCTATAAAAAATGGTATTGCGCTTGCACAATAGACGAACGCCGTGGTAGTTCCTCATTACAACTCAAGCTCTGTGTATAAAACAAATAGCAACCATCCAACCAGGCACACTTTCAGTCTCTCCAGATGGTCCAGGTTGAAAGCAAAGCACAAGCGCATGTAAACCAGCCACGAGTTGCAGGATAGCATAATTATTCCTATTTATATATGAACGGCACCATTGTCTCTCTTCTATTTGGTGATGACATTACGACTAGTTGCACTTCTAAGCCTACTAGTGTCGGTATGATACTCATTGCAAACGAGCATGATATACATTCACTTGATTTGTGGTGTTCAAGGTGGAAGTTGTCATTCTGTGTCGATAAAGGAATATGAATCACTGTCTAAGTGCCATACCATCCAAACACTGAATCTCATTGAGCACATGGGACATAGTGCAGCAGTTCAAGCTCGTAGGAGCGCTGGGATTCTTTTCAAAACGATAAATTTAAAAGAGCCGATAACCGTTATCTGCAAACTACAAGTTATTTTGTTGAGATTTTTCATCCCGATAGTTCACAAGCTACATAGCACAGCCTAGTTCGGATAAGTACCAGACGCGTTTCGCCTATTGGGGCTAGTCAGTAGCGCGCACTCCCTCGGTCCCCTAATGGGGATTTAACCCATGACCGCTAGAGACAAATGCAAACTAGCCAGCAGCTTAAGCCACTGAGCTATGGGAGACGTTGGCTGGGCTACATAATTTGCAAACTAAATGGGATATAGCACCACCTATCTTCCACTGTCACTGACAGTGGCTAGCCTACGAGGTGATGACTCACTAGACGCTATATCCATAGCATTTTGAAACTAAGGTTATTTATTTTACATTACTCGTAAGCAACAGGATTTTATTGGTAATTTTGTTGAAAGGCGTCCATTGCTAGGGTGTCATGATCCACTGCAATTCCAGAAATAGTGACCGTCTAGCGTCACCAACAACAACAAGTAACAATTCTTGACGAAGCTAAAAGACCTACGAGTAGAACATGATGAAACCATGGTGTCCTTCGATGTAACCGCCCTATTCACTTCCGTCAACTTACAGCTGGCCAAAGAAGTTATCGCAGAACGTCTGGACAACAGCGGAGGGAAGATTGGGAACATGACGACCAGAAGCGTATGCGAACTTCTCAACTTATGTCTCTCAACTTACTTTGCGTTCAACGGAAAAATGTATAAACAAGTGAAAGGTGCACCGATGGGATCACCTGTATCCGGACTCATCGCAGAGATTGTCATGCAAAAATTGGAAGAGGATCTACTACCAATGATTAATCCGAAACTTTGGGTTCGCTACGTCGATGATACGTTTGTGATACTCAAACGTAGTCAAGTATCGGTTGCACAACAACTGCTTAACAACGCTATGGACGGCATACAGTTTACCATGGAATCAGAGAAAGAAAACAAACTTCCTTTCTTGGATGTGTTAGTAGCCAGAACAATGGACGGCGAATTGCAAACATCAGTTTACAGAAAAAGCACGCACACCGATCAGATTTTGAATTTCAACAGCAACCACCCAAGATGTCACAAAATAAGCTGTGTGCAGACACTGTTCCATAGAATAGCAACTCACTGCAGTACGACAGAAGCGAAACGAGCAGAAGAAAAGCACTTATTCAAGTCATTTGAACGCAACGGATACCCACGCAGTTTCCTCCGAAGATGCTTAAACCGCAAGCCCTCAAAAACCGAACCTACGTCAGCTATGACGAAACGTATAGTTCTGCCGTACATAAGGAACGTATCTGAAATGACTGCCAGATTGTTCAAACAACATCATATCATGGTATCCCACAAGCCAACCGCCACTCTGAGGAAAACATTGTCAAAACCAAAAGGAAAGCGAGAGACACTAGAACGACGGAATGTCGTATATAGAATAAACTGCGTAAACTGTGAAAAGCACTATGTGGGACAAACAGGAAGGAAGCTGTCCACAAGGATACATGAACACCAAAGAGCGTGCAAGAAACATTACGCAACCTCATTGGTTTCAGCACACGTGGATGAAGAGGGACACAGCTTCGACTGGAACAAAGTAGAGATCTTGACCGAAGGAGAAACACAAAAAGGGAGGGAGTTTCTCGAAGCCTGGTTCTCAACCACGAACTCAATCAACATGCATATCGACATCGATCCAATATACCAACCGCTGAGACAGAGAGAGCTCAAGAGGATCAACAACCGTTGTTCGAAAGAACCTAATCCAACACACAGATAATGAACAGCATGGTCAATGTGAGCCCAGACTGCTCACCCACACCCGTTGCACCAATCCGAGTGCGATAATCCCAACCACGTCGCAACAACATTTCCGCAGCCAATGACAATGACTCGAGCACGACCGCTGAACACAATGATTCACCAATGAGAACGAGGCAAAATTAATAGCCCCGTATGCCTATATAAGGAACGGAGTGGTTGCTGACAGTATCCATTATTGGGTTTGCTTTCTACCAGCTACTGCTACTTAACTGCTATCAATCCCGCACTGAAGATGCCACCTCGAATGGTGGCGAAACGTTTGCAATCAAGTTGCCCAGCTCGGAGAACTCCACAACAACTGAGCAAGCCTCCCGAGCTACCAATATTCCAAATCATTTCGAACGCCTGAGTTGATGTGTCTCGATGAATTCGAGAGTAAAATATTTATTTTATTTTATATCTAGCAATTCTAGGTGCTCTGTGAAACAACTTGTGACACCAACTCCTCAGCTTCTCGATCGCACGCCAGTGATGGATCTATGTGAACATTCTACTGAGAAACATCTTGTTTATAAACACTACGAACGGTTATTCGTTTTCATCGATCTCTCTTTAGAAGTCAAACCAAATAAACCATCGGACTGTCTGTTATTGAAGAGAAATGTCATGTATCTTACTGTCGTTTCATTTGAATCTGATATTTTTCTTGTTCTACATTGTCGGCCACGACTGGGCGCATTTTCTGATGTGATGGACTGAACCCTGCAAACCAATCACAGTGTATTTACGCAAGATGTACTAGCGTAGACTCACTAACAAATATTACAAATGCGCCACTCGAAAGAGTTGAAGAATGAAATGGATTATATGGCTTGAGTGCTCCTTCTGTATGGGTATAACAATGACCCTAAATATGAGTAAATGCAGTGTTGGTTTAATTGCTTTTAAGCCACATGAGCACACCGTCAGGTGGAGCGTAAGAGTGTATCCGAAACACTTCTAGAAGCTGTCCTGCATGGAAGTAGGTTTCCAAGCAAACGGTCCCGCAGAGGTTATATCTAAATTTAGAGAATATTCGTCGAAGCTGGACTCAGCCAGACAGTCACCACACATCCAGGAAAGCGCTATGCGGTCGTTTCGTCCTATTTGGTCTCGTTAGTAGCGTGCACTTACCGGATTCTATTGGATTCGAAACTACGACGTTACATTTTCCAGTCAGCGAGGAATGCCACTGAGCCATGGGCAACGACAGCAGAATGGCATAACAGATTTCTAACTGCGATATAGCGTCATTCATCCTCCACTGTTAAGCATGTTAGGAACGTGTAGAGGACAGGGCTAACTCCCAAAGCTACGAATTCTTCGGCAAGCCGCCACCAATCGAGGTGGCGCGTAAGCTGCTCAGGCGATTAATGAGTAGGGGGATTTGTTGTGTTTTGAGAATATTCGTCGCAACTAGACTAAAAGACATCCATCAGATATACCGGGAAGGTTCATCCTACTGGGATTCTTCAGTGGCGCTCACCCGCCAAAGCCTGCCGAATTCGAATCCATAATCTTAGTCTTACCGTCTTTCCAAAAAATATAACTGATTGTTCACTGAAAACGCGTTTGGGAACCTACCCGA